AAAGTTTTTGGCCTCTTCTTAATGCTGAATTTATTCTGATACAGAGACTAATGTCATGCCACCAGTAGGTTTTTAAATATAAAGTTTTGATGCTAAAACATTTTTTCTTAAGTAGCTGTGCCCAACCCAGACTTGCTATGTCTGTGTGCTGTGTTGTCTGTTATGTAGGAGAATATACAACTTCTCTGTCTTTGGTGATATGACTCCTTTTATCCCCTGCCTTCCTAACTTTTGCTTTCTGATCACAAAATTCTCCATGCTCTGAACTGTGATCCTGACAAGAATGGACTGATAGCTCAAGAAGAAACTAGTCTATATTTATACTTGACTATTTATATAGTTTCTCTTTTCCTGGCTCAGAGTACACGTATTCTGCAATTAAGCCAGCATAATGTGGGAGATTGAATGACAAGAAGTAGGTTAAAAAGATGTTCCACTCCTAACTTCTCTTTCCTTCTTCTAATGTATTTTGGTCATACTTTTAATAATTTTCATGTTAACATCTTAACCATTTAATAAAATTGTTGAAAAAGTACCAATTTTGAAGACTGAGCACTATAGACTTTTTAGTAGTTGATGATCTCTAAAGGCATTTCTATAAATTAGAATGGTCTCTTGACATTCTAGGATAGCTTGCTGAGAATGCAAAAAGAGAATGAACTATCCAACCTGTGATTCCTGATTTGTTGTTAAATGAATATTTCTCTGTAGCCTTTTGTGGTCAAGACTTTCAGATTAAATATAACGTTTGCTCCATTGGAGGATGTGACCTATCTTTCTATAGTGACCATCTAATATAAAAAGAATTCTGGAGTCTACGTGCCCAATATATATCTGAATATATTAGTAATGCTTCACTGAATGTTTGCTGTAAAAGTGACATCATACTAAGAGTTTAGAGAATAACTCATGTTAATCTCATGTACTACTTAAAATAACTCTTTAAGTTTGATATTATTGTTATTAACCATATCTGTAGATAGTCACTTGAGACTTTGTGACCATGCCATGGTTAACTGGTGACAGAGCTAAGAAGTGAACCCAGGTCATTTAAGTTCAGAGCTCATACTCTGTGATACTATACTTAACTATCCTTTGTGAATCAGGTGGTGTATCAATCACTGTTCTCCAGAGAAACAGAGCCACTAGAAAGAGATTTATTACGATGAGTTGACTGAAATGATTATAGAGACTGAGAAGTACCACAAACTATATCTGGAAATGGAGAACCAGGAAAGCCAGTGGTGTAGTTTCAGTCTGTGTGTGAAGGCTTGAGAACCAGGAAAACAAATGGTCTGAGTTCTAGTCCAAGTATAAAAGCCTAAAAACTGGAGGGCTGATGGTGTAAATTCTACTACAAGAGCAAGAGACCTGTGTTTCTGCTCTAGAAGAGAAAGCAAATTCCCTTCCTCTCTTTTTTTGCTCTACTGGGACTCCCTCTGAAAGGATTGGATGATGTTCACTTGTTTCAGTGAACATCAAATGCTAATCTCTTCCAGAAACACTCTCACAGCCACACCCTTAGTTCAATCAACTTCACCCTTAAAATTAACCATCACAGTATCTGTTAAGACGCTAGCTTTCATGAATGGCCTGGCTACTGATACATGGACACTACTCAGGGGAGGAGAGCCTGATGGGAGAGAAGAGTATTATAGGAACACTGCAGTGAAGACTGGTAAATTGCAGCCATTGGTTGATTAAACATAAAAACAGGTATAGCACTCAGGATGACTTCATTGACCTATAACAAGGTTATAACACTCTTTCCTGCAACACTGAAGTGAAGATGCTCAATGGAAAGTCTTCCCTGATCACCATTCACCCTGTAAGTTACCATAAACGACAGGGATGAATCCTGCTTATCATTGGGTTATCAGAGATGGTGATGATAATAACAATAATTAGTATTTGTAAATCACATTACGGTGAACTTAGCATGTGTGAGATACAGTCCATGTACTTTACATTTAATTCTCACAACAGCAACACAATGGGTACAATGACCCTTATTTTACATAAGAGGAAACCCACACTCAGAATATCAAACTTAAAAGCTATAAGGTAAAAGCTGGAAAGTGATAGGAGGGTTGAACCCAGGTAATCTATACATAGATTACAGGTATGAAATGGACTATCCTTATTTGTGTGGTATGAAATACAGGTGCCATGAAAAATGATGTATTTAAAACGGAGACGCCACAACTTTGTATGCCAGAAACTTTTCTCTCTTGTTCTGGACCCTAGATGGAAGGCAACTTGCAGATAATCTGAGTTTAGATTCTAGGCTTTAAGTTATATTGTCTTTCCTTATTTGCAACTCACAGTGAACAAGGGCCTTTCTTGCTATGCGCACACTCAAACTGCAGGTGGTGTCCATTGAGGCCAACTTCCCTGGGAATCTTCAGGAAATAGAAATAACCAGGGGAAAATGAACAGTAATTACCTGGCATTAAGTTGAGACCTTTTGTGTGAAAGGCGTGTGAAGATAGGCCTTTCAGTGACTTAATGAGCCTTATCACGAGCCTTCAGCTTTTCTGAATAAATTTGGAGGTAATAAAATGTTGGACCTTGCTTTCAAACCAAATTATACTACGACATTATTTTAAAAGACCTTTGGAACAAGTGACTGAAAGTTTTCTTTTTCCCCTCCTCCTGAAGATAGAATCAGTTTCTCCTTATTAATGAGAACCCAGAATAATTTCAGACTATGGCCAGTAAATAAAAGTATTTAATGAAATGAAATAGAATCTGATTTATAAAAATGAATTCAAAGGAGCTCTGCTCCTATTTGCCGTTCATAGCGTTGTTCATTGATTCAGCAAATGTTTCATGGCCTCTCCTTACTGAGGCCACTGAGCCAGGCACTGCAACACTGCAAAGAACATAACAAAGGGACCATGGACAATTAGTAAGTGAAAAAACAAAGAGAACATAATTAGAGCTTTTGGGAAGTGCTGGGAAGGAAATAATAGGGAGTTCTACTGGGAAATAGTGACCTACTCTAGCTAGTTTGGGCACAAAGGCTATATGGAATGACATTTCACTGAGGCCACATCAAAACCACTCACAGGATAAAATTAACCATCAGTAAATGTATATGTCTGTAGAGGAATAATTGTCTCTTTTAGTGATGATGTATTAAATCTTTTTGTATGGTTTTTCCCCATGGTGCTCTTTTACAGCCTCTCTGTGGTATCTAGGGTCATTCAGGACCTTTTATTACAAAATATAGAGACACTCTTTTCAGACTATGTATTTACTGTTCGAAATCAATTTCTGGCATTGTATCTCATGGCTCATTTGCTGCAAAAGTAAGGTGATTTTATTTAACATAGGAAGAATTCCAGGACAGTAATATATACCCCATTTTCCATTCTTTGGTATATTTGATTGAGTAAACTGAATTTAAACAGATGGGACCTACCCTTCAAGCAAGGTGACCTCTTTTGGGTTTATTGAATCATGCCTCAAGTTGCTTAAAAGATGTTGCAACTCTAGAGAAATGTTGAGAGAGACAGAAATCTTTTGGAAGTTTACTCTCCCATTTTCTATTTGTATCCATCTTTTTAAAAAATACATATTCCTTTGTTCCATAAGGCTTAAAAATGAAATTATTGAAAGGTTTCTTTGAAGTTGGCTTATTATATTTTTTGTACTTAAACTATCTGGTAAATCTAATTTAAATGCAATTTCATTTAATAACTATTGTTGATATTATGATTCATGACTCATTTAATTAGTAACACTTGACTTTATGTACCTGAAATGTCCAGTCTGCACACTGATATTTCACTTAAATAAAATTATGTTTTGGGAGGAGAATGGTTTCTTTTCTCTCTGTGTCTGAAGCATGTCTTTTATTTTCTTTCTTGATTGCTACCAAATATAAGCCAACACAACAGTGAGACTGTAGGATGTTGAATTCTAACGGTTAGCAGAGAAGATGATGGTACTTTGGTGTGAACCAGAACTGTCTGAGTTCAAACTGTGTCCTGAATAATGGGCTATCAGACTTTGGCAAGATACTTTACACCTTAGTGTCTATTTCCTCATTTTAAAATTGATAGCTACTTTGTAGTACCTATGTTCCTACTATGTAGTACAATAACCATCTCTCTTAAGAGAGAATGAATTTAAAAACCACGTAGTGTTGGTTTTTGTATTAACAATATGTGTTACAGGATTTGGAGAAATGAAGAGTGACTTCCAAAGGTCACGACTCTGCTCTAAGGAGAAACCTCCATAACCCATCTCTGATTAATTTCATGGTTCTCAACTTAGATAATGAGTTCAACTCTGCATGTGGAGCTGTGGTCAAGAGTATTCTCAAAGTCATAGGCTAATGGAGGCACATTTGTGGCACATCATTTTAGCTTCAATATTTGAGGGAAGTAAAAATGCATGTATATTAAAAGCACCATAATTATATTATGCAATATCTTACAAAATTTGCATGATTTTTTAAAGTACTTGATTAGGCTTCAAAAACTGTTTACATTTCTAGACCAAATCTTAAGATTCCCCCCAGGGTAGTAGGTTCATTCTCTTTTGTTATTTTGGGGATTTCACTGGAAAGTTGTGAGAAATAGTACAAAAGTAGATGGGCCACTTTTCTGTTATCATGTTCCTTTAAGAGAAGTCTAGGATCTTCCTCAGTCGTTCCTGAAATCTTCTACAATTTTTACATCCTGGGGGTGGGGGAGAGTTAGTGATATTATACAACCATTTTTGTGCAGGTGATAAAATTCTAAAGTAACTGCAAGTTGGTCTGATTTATAGGTTCATTTGGATGTTCGGAGGTTAGTCTTGTTCTGGAGAAAAATGCCTCATTCTTGGGGCTGGAGATGTAGCTCAGTGGTTTAGTATTTGCCTAGCATGCATGAGGCCCTGGGTTTTATCCCCAGTACTGAAAGAAAGAAAAATAAATAAATAAAAAGCCTCATTTTTGGTTGTAGAATTCAGTCATTGCTTCATTTTTGCATTTCTCTTACCCACAGTGTGTTGATAATCTTCTTCCCAGCCCCATGCTCTCCCACAAGCCCCAAGGACAAGCTAGACCTTTTCTCATGTAAGTACACTTTATGCTCTTAATGAAGTTGCCTCTTCCTCATCTCCTCTCAGGTGTCTCAACCCACTTTAAAGAATGAGATTAGTAATTGTCACCTCCACTCATCCAGTACAGAGCACACACTTAGGAGTTACTCTGGTTATCTGCCTTGCCCTCATCATACCTCCCCTCCCCATTCATTCTATCAGCAGGTTATTTCTATTTTATCTTCTAAACACCTCTGGGATGCATTAATTTCCTTTTGCCTCTATGTCACCCTCCTTGTCTAGCTCCCATCATCTTCCTCATCTTCCTTCCACCAACTAATCTGTTTCTGCCCATTTCTTCTGCCTCATCATGCATGTCCCTCACTCTGCATTCCTGACTCTTGCCAGGCTTTCAGCTCCACTTTAGTGCCTGCCTCTCTAGACCCAGTGCTACTCCTCACCTGGTGAGCTCCCAGCCATTCTCCAGGCTTCAGCTTCCCTGTCCCAATCTAAGAACAGTTACCTTGTTTTCTACTTATGCCCAATTATATTTATGTATTCATTTTATTCAATAACTTAATTTGATTTGTGACCATCTCTCCCATCAGGCTGTGGGTTCTGTGAAATCGAGTATTCTTTTTCATGGTTATATCTCTAAGCACCAAAGCTAAGAGTTCAATAGTTATTCTGATTGGCCACAGTAAAGCCAAGGGAAAGTTCACAGGTGGATGAAAGGGAGAGAGAGAGATATTGATATATCCCTCATGAGTCCATTAGATCATATTTATGTTCTTAATTGGAAAGACCATTTTTTTGACCCTGACATTAAGCAAAAAATTGTTTGAAACAAATAGCGTTGGGTCTTGAATTCAAGGCTTAAGAGTTTAAACTTTCTATTTATTGGGGTGCTACCATAGGTGGGGAGCCCTTGGCCTCCTCATTTCAGACCTGGACTTCATTGACAGCATAGAGATCAGTGTGTGTTCCATGCATTTCTGAGACCAGGCAGACCACTGTGTCCTGGACAGAGATGAGACTTCTGAGGGAAATAAACATCTAGAATAAAAGTCTAAGTGCTTTTTTGCATTAATATGACAAGCTTCAAAGGTACAATATCCAGGTTCCAAGGCAAGGTTTATTCCACTCACAGCTGACTAAATAATAATTAGGAGGAAAATGATGAAAACAGGCAACCAATGATTGGGTTTATTCTTTCCCTCTATAAACAGGTTGTATGCCAAGCACTTATGTGAATAGGTGGTTTAATTACCTATATTTTATGACTGATGAAAGTTGTTGAGGTTACATAATTTAGCCTAGGACTATCTGAAACTAAGAGGTCAAGCTGAGATTAGAAGTCAGGTCTGACCAACCCCAAAACTTGGGCTTCCAACTGCCAGTGAGCACCCAGCCATTCTCCAGGCTTCAGCTTCCCTGTCCCAATCTAAGAATAGTTACTTTGTTTTCTACTTATGTCCAATTCTAATTATGCATTCATTTTAGAATGAATGGCATTTTTTGAATGACAGAAGGACAAAGGTTAATAAAAATAAAGATTATTATTAATAATAGCATCCTTAGCATGTGCCAGGCACCAGCTTAGAGATGCACATTTATTTTATCATTTTATTCTTATAAACCAGATAACACTTGTTTCTAGATTCCATGGAGGACTGAGAATTCTGTACATTCCACTGGCCAGGATCCCTTGGGTCCTAAATGTTCAGTTATAATAATAATAATAAACTGGAAACAATATAGAGAATAGAAAGGGATCTCAAGGAAAGATTGGGCACGATTTCATAGTATTCTTAAAACTTTTCTAATATGCTTTTATGCCCACTAGCATTTATTTTGCAATAAGCTTTACTTCAATAGTCATAGAGAAACTGCTTTTATTTTCTCATATCTATATAGGACTATGGTGATAATAATAGTTGCTCTTGTTTGCTCTTTATTTGAATGTGTTTTGATGCAAAAGACTATCCAGTCCAGAGAGAGACCATGTACTGCACATTAGGAGCAGGGGCTCTGGAGGCTGAGAGTGCATATGGCCTGTGCTATGTCAGCTTGGAGGTGTTTCTTAACTTGTCCGTGCTTCCTTCATTGATTCTCAAATGTTTATTAAACATCTATTCTATTGCAGATGTTGTATTAGAAGCCAAGGCTACAACAGAGCACTAAAATAGACATGGTCCTTGTTCTAGTGAAGCTTCATCAGTTGAAAACATTGATGTTAAAAGCACAAATGAGGGGCTGGTGGAGTGGCTCAAGCAAGCGTGAGGCCCTGAGTTCAAATCCCAGTACTGCCAAAAAAAAAAAGCATAAATGAGTTTGTGATAAATTTAATGACAGAGTAATTTATGCTGTGGGGGCAAAGAACAAACAATGAAACGACACAGACTCTTGACTGTACAATTGTCACTTAATGCCTAAAAGCACTCAGCACCATGCTTAGTGCATACTAAGACTTGATAACAGTAGCTATTATTACTATATGATTATTTTTTTCCAGAGAAAGAACCATAGACATAAAAATATGCAGTGGAAAGTGATTAATAGGGCTGACTCTTGCCAGTGTCTGGATTTTAAATTTTGTAATGCAATACTTTCATCTTCTTTGTTTGTCCTAGAAACAGCTGGTGGTAGGATAGTTACTTGGAAGAATTGTTCAGAGAGGGCTTCTAATGGAGACATCTAAACATAATCATCTTGTCCCACAGTTAGTACTGAGATTAAAGTCAAACACAACCAAGTAGAAGCCAGGGCCCTTGGGGACATTATTTGTTTAGTAAATTTTGATTCGTGGTCTCATTAATGCCTCATCAGCCTCTTGACCATTAGTCTGGGCAGGTAGCTCTATGCAGGGATCTTCATTCTCTGGCAGCTGAGATAGGATTGTCCTAATGATGATTGGTCTCAGTGTCTCCATAAGGACAAGTCCCCAAAAGTAAAGCATTGTCATATCTAAACACATTTCTATCAACTTTCAGCCTGTGTCCAATTTAGCAGCAAGAGATTTCATATCTCACAGCATTCAATAGTCCTGCTTAATTAAGAACTGTGAATCAGATCAGCTGACAGTCATAATGACTGAAGTGAACATGTTTGCTCCAAAAAGGAGAGAAATGGAAAGAAATTTCAATAAACATTGGGTAACTCAGAAAGGAATCAGAGCAGTATCAAATGGTACACATTCTCATTTCTGACTGCAGAACTGCCCTACAGATTATGACAACACCGTAGGGTCACACCATAAAGGGCCAAGGTGAGGAATAATCTCTTAAAACTGGCCTGCTTATCTTTGTGGGGTGCTCTTTTGTCACATTGTTGGTCTTGCCCTTATTCCTAAGCACAGATTTTCACTTTGGAAAAGAAAAAAAAATTAAGGCAATGCTGATAAGTATGCTAAAAATAGCTTTCTTGAACTAAAATAAAAGCACCACAATTACTCAGCACATAATTGCTGTTAAGTTTACATGGATGTATTGCTTATTATAAACTGATAAAGGGCTTGGACTTTAATGTCAGATAGTCAAATCTTGACTCTGCCACCTGCTAACCATGATCTTGGAACAACTTAACTTCTTTGAGTCTGTGTTTCCTGATCTATAAAAACAAAAATATAGCTATAGTTACCTCAAACCTATTCAAAAATTAAATGAGTTTATCTCTGCCAAACACAATAGACAGAGGCTAAGTGCCAAGTGACTGATCATGTGTGAGTTTTGTGGACTCAGTTTCTAACGTCTGATGGCTAGAATTTAGCACGAAGCTGAGACAGCCCAGGTCATTTAAAAGGTCAAAAGCTTACATTTTATATATCTATCTTTCTCCCTAGGATACAGTAAGGCTTCAATAAACAGTAGTTTCTTTCTAGTTCCAGTTGTGTTGGCATTAAATTAGTAAGACAAATGTACTGAACTGGGCAAATGTGTAACACTTTATTTATTTATTTATTTTTTTGGTGGTACTGGGGTTTGAACTCAGGGCCTTACCTTTGCTAGGCAGACACTTTAGCACTTGAGCCATGCCTCCAGCCCTGTGTAACGCTTTATGATGGCAATTGTTAACATTTGTATAACTTTAGAAGTTAAAAGGCTCCTGCAACATACATTGATACAGAAAGTTCTTCAACATACATTATTGTCTTTAATCCACAGAATAATCCTGGCAGTTGGGGAGATTGGCAAATTTGGTTTTTTGTTTTGGTTTGTTTGTATATGTGTTCGTATATTCTTTCCTTCATTCAGCAAATGCACATGGGTGCCGGTGATATGTTACACATTCTGCTCCTCCTGGTGAGCCAAGGAGGTGAGCTCTCTATCTGCACTGTTGTGTCTTGGGTGATCCTCCAAATGTACATCTTAAAATTCTGAAAGGTGATACAGGCAATATATGTATTTCTAGTGATAAATGTTTCAAAAATGGAAAAAAATGAGATTCAGTGTGGCCACTATGTGATAGATCTTAAACCCCAAATTCCAAGTCCTTTCCACTGGATCCTTCTGTCTGCCTCATTGAATATATAATTTAGAACAAATGCTAGACATAACCTGGTGTAGTCATTCATTTTACCGGTGAAAATGCTGAGGCTTAAAATGGACGAATGATATGCTTACAATAATCTCTTCTTTAGGGGTAGCTGTCAGTTCCAATGAAGAAACCTTTTGACAGCATGCTAAATCTTCGGATTACATAGCTTATTCTGTAGTAATGCAATAGCTGCATTTTAATAAACTGTGTTATCAAAAATCAAGTGTGAGATGTTTTGTTTCAGGATACTCAGTCAAGGGCCACTAGAGTTTTAGACAGCAAATTGAAGTTGTTGTTGGTTTTTTTTCCTAGCAAAAGTATAGGAAATAAGTATACTGTTTTATACTAAATGCCACTGAGCAAATGCAGCAGTTGATAACATCTAGCTTTCCTCCAAGAGTAAAGGACTTTCACTTTCCATCATCCCAGCACTATCATTATGTGTTTAGACGGTGATCAACCACTGTTACAGGAGACTGAGCTCAACCCACTCAAGCA